TGTACGACCTCAACTCCAACAACCCCAACCCCGTCATCAACTACGACGGCGTGAGCAAGAACATCACCTCGGTGGGCTTCCACGAGGACGGCCGCTGGATGTACACGGGCGGGGAGGACTGCATGGCCCGCATCTGGGACCTCAGGTGGGTACCGGGGGCTTCCCCCGTCCTGCGGGGCCGAGCTCCCGGCCCTGAGCACCCCTCCCTCGCTCTGTCCCAGGTCCCGGAACCTCCAGTGCCAGCGCATTTTCCAGGTGAATGCTCCCATCAACTGTGTCTGCCTGCACCCCAACCAGGTGAGGAGGCTGCCTCTGCTGGGGAACAGAGCTTAAAGCTCACCCTGTTCCGCTCCTCACCATGCCCTGCTTGCTCCAAGCCTGGTCCAGCCAGGCTTTGGGCACTTCCAGGGATCCAGGGGCAGCCACAGCTCCTCTGGGTAAACCTGAGGGGCTGCAGAGCTGTGTCCCAGCAGAAGATGGGCTACAACAGAACATGGCTTGGGGGCTTCACACCATGTGTTTGTGCTGATGACCTGGTGGCTGTTGCAAAGGGACAGCACAGGGGCTGCACTGAGCTCATCCCATGGGAGAAAACACCCTTGGAGCGAGCTCTGCCCCCAAACATCACTGAGGATGTGATGGGAGCAAAGCTGGAGGAGTGGGGGCAGCTGAGGGTGGCACCACTGCCAAGGAGAAGCATCCTGGGGCCTTCAGCTGTGATTCCTTCCAGGTCAGGTTTGGTTGAAGTTCAGTGGGTTCAGCAGCTGTTGCTGAGCAGAGGGAGAGTGGGGGCTCTTGAAGAGGCAGAAGGGAGCAGGAGCAAGGAAATCAGTAGGGATCAATCAGTGCCAATGGCCAGGCTGGGCTGGGCTGTGGCTTTGCCTGCAGACAGAGCCGTGCAAACCTCTGTAAAATCCCAAGTAATGGAAATGTTCCCTTGCATTTCATTTGGCAAAGGTTTAATTCTGCAAATCAGGAATTTCAGACTAAGTTTGAGATCGGTTATTTGCTCTTGGAGTGTCAGTGCTGTGAGACTGTGTTATGTTAAATGAATATTGCTGAACATAGCTCTTAGATGGGAAGTAATCCCTGACCAAGATGCTGCTGAGGTGCAGTGTTGCTTTGTTAGCAGAAGGTGGTTAATTAGACCAAAGGTGGCAGCTTTTGTTCGGACAGTTCTGTGGCTCTGCAGTTCCCTCTGATGCTGATCCAGTTATCCAGAGATTCCTCACGGCCTGAGTAAAGCCATGAAAACTTTGGTCTCAGCATTTACACCTGCTGAGAGGGGGCTGAGGAGCCCAGGAGGGACTTTGGTGCAGTCAGATAAATGCATTGAGCGGTGTTTGTCTCCTCAGGACCAGCCTCTGCTCCCAGGGACAGGGTTAGCTGTGCTTGATGACCTGATCTCCTCCAGGGATTCTGCTAAAACTGTGGACAGCACAGGGCTGTCGATAAAGGCCTGGTTTTAGCAGAGACGTGCCAGCATTGACTTCTGCTCTGAGCATGGGATCAGAGCCAGGACTCCTGCCCTTGGCTCTTGTCCTTTCCCTGAGAAGGGGAGGGAGAGAGGAAAACCCACTTCAGGTTGTGTTTTTCAGGTATCTGCACCCTTGAGTGCTTCAGCTGTTCAGTGGCCAGCCTGCCCCTTAACGCTGCCTCAGACGTGCTGAAAGCCTCTTGGCTGCTGTGGCTGTCGTTTGGAGCTGTAGCTGTGCCCCAGCCCTGGAACTGGGACAGCTCTGGTTGCTCTGGGGTTTAGGAAATCAGCAAACCCTTCTGGGCAGGGAAACAGCCTTTTGCAGAGCGTCAGGACTCGGCTGGGACAGGCAGGGTGTGAAACAGCCCTGAGCTGGGGAGGGAGGAGGCAGGACGGGACCCCGAGCAGGGCTCCAGTGGGCCGTGTGTCCCTGCAGGCCGAGCTGATCGTGGGTGACCAGAGCGGGGCCATCCACATCTGGGACCTGAAGACTGACCACAACGAGCAGCTGATCCCCGAGCCCGAGGTGTCGGTGAACTCGGTGCACATCGACCCCGACGCCAGCTACATGGCAGCCGTGAACAGCTCGGTGAGCTCGGCCGCGCCGTGACGGGAGCCGGGCTGGGGCTGGCCGGGCGTCCCCCAGCCTGGACACGGATCCTGCCCTGCCTCTGCAGGGAAACTGCTACGTGTGGAACCTGACGGGCGGCATCGGCGAGGAGGTGACGCAGCTGATCCCCAAAACCAAGATCCCGGCGCACAACCGCTACGCGCTGCAGTGCAAGTTCAGCCCCGACTCCACGTGAGTGTGCAGCTCCTCACCTCCCTCCCAGGGCAAACACGGGCAGCTGGGGGCCAGCTGTGCCTCCAGCTGTGCTCCAGCTGTGCCTCCAGAGGTGCAGGTCTAAGGAGATCTGATGGCAGCAGGGCCAGGTCTCCAGGCTGTCACTGGCCCTGGCCCAGCTCTGTGGTAACGAGAGGCCCCACAGGGGACAGTGACTGATGAGGTGGCCCTCACACCTCTCCTTGCAGGCTCTTGGCCACCTGTTCTGCAGATCAGACGTGCAAGATCTGGAGGACTTCAAACTTCTCTCTGATGACGGAGCTGAGCATTAAGAGCAACAACCCTGGGGAGACATCCCGGGGCTGGATGTGGGACTGCGCCTTCTCCGGGGACTCCCAGTACATCGTCACAGGTGAGGCACCCCCTGGGCTGTGCCAGGCGGCTGCAGCAGCCAGGCAGGACCAGTTACCCTGGCTGGGACACTGCCAGAGCCTGGGGCACAGCGGCTGGGAGGTGGGAGCACCCAGTTCTGCTGGCTGGAGCATTTTGTGCTGCTGCAGTGGGGCAGCTGTTAGAGCTGGAGAGGAGATCTGCAGCTGTGCTGTTCATCTCAGAGTTCACAGGGTGTTGATCCCTTAAACACACCTGTGGGAACGTCCACACTCACTGCTCTCCAAAAGAATTAAAGCAGAATTAAAGAGAAATGCACTGAGCTGCTGTGCCTTGCTGGTCATCACCAGCCCTAAGGATGGCTGAAGGAAGCAAGAGGAAAATATTTCTTATAATAATAGTAAAAAAGAAACTTAAAAGGTAATACATAACCCACTCCTCACTCTCTGTTGCAGCCTCCTCTGATAACCTGGCCAGGCTGTGGTGTGTGGAGACAGGAGAGATCAAGAGGGAATACAGTGGCCACCAGAAAGCCGTGGTCTGCCTGGCCTTCAATGACAGCGTGTTGGGATAACGGGCACGTGTGGCAAGAACAGGAGCTCTGCTTGTTTCCCCTGGCCTTGGCAGACCCTCTCCAGAGCCTGGGACCGCACTGTACCCATCCCCTCCCGCATGGACAGGGCTGGGGCTCTCCCAGGGCCAGCTGCAGCTGCCTGGGGTGAGACCAGGCTTCAGCTCCAGGCAGGACATTGGTGGAGCGTGTGTGGCCTCGGAGGGAGGGAATGGGAGAGGGAGGCAGGATCCCACTGCAGGGACACGGGCACAGCTGCAGGAATCCCCAGGGCACCGGCTGCTCACAGCTTTGGATGTTCTTGTACCCCACAGTGGGAGGAGAATAAAAGTCATCCTCTGCAAGTGATGGGAGAGGCTGAGTAAAGAAGAAGAGAAGCTCTTGGTTTGCAATCCCTTTATTCAAAATGTTTCACAGAGTGACTTGGAGAGCTGCTCTCCTAAAGCCAACCACCCCCAGCTGTAACAACAACCACCTTGTGTTGGACAGAGCCTGGAGCCCCAAAACTCTAGCTGCTTCCCAGGACTCCTCCAGGCCTGGGTCTCCCAATTCCCACAGAGGAGGTGCAGCCCTGGAGCAGAGCTGCACTGTCTGTGCTGACAGTGCTGAGCCTCCTGTTTCTCTAAACTCTCCTGACCTGCAGCGTGGAATCAGCAGGAGGCTCTGGGGATGTTGTAGGTGCTCCCTCGTGGAAGTCAGAGGTTTTCAGGAATCCAGTTCAAGTATGAGGGCAGAGAGGGTGGCTGTGGCTGCAGCACTTACTCGGGCAGGTAATAGAAGCAGATGGAGACACAGATGTTGCTGGGGAAGCAGATGTCGATGCACAGGTAGATGAGGCGCTGCTTCCCCGGCCCTGCCAACGAGCAAGGACAGCAGTGAGAGCAGTGCTTTGGTCCTGCAGTGACAGAGTCCCCAGGGATGCTTTGGTCCTGCAGTGACAGAGTCCCCAGGGATGCTCTGGTCCTGCAGTGACAGAGTCCCCAGGGATGCTTTGGTCCTGCAGTGACAGAGTGCCCAGGGATGCTCTGGTCCTGCAGTGACAGAGTCCCCAGGGAAAGCCTCAGGGAATGACCTTTCTTATTAAAGCTGCAGTGAGACACAGCAGGCTGACAGCTCAGCAGGCTGCTTTGGCTGAGGATGAAGGGGACAGGGATTAAGCAGTGATGTCTCAGGGCACAGCTCTGTGTGCTGGGGCAGCTCAGAGCCCATCCCAGTGCCACAGCTGAGGATGGGGTGGGTATGAGGCAGCACTCAGGGATGGTGAGCACACACACACAATGGTTTGATTTTGCACTAGAGGTCACCCATCGCTGTCCTGGGCCTTGGCAGCCCATCCTGGATACATCAGCTGTTGTGCAGGAGAGCCTGATCCTCTTAGAGGTGCTAGAAAAGCTCTTGCTTCCCCTGCCAAGGGCACTGCCCCACTTACCCTGGCCTCTCCGCACCCAGAAGATGGATGTGTGCTCACACAGGGCCTGCACGGCCTCCCCCAGGCCCCCGGGCTCCACCTGCTCCCCTGCCACAATGCCCAGGAACTCCTGGTAGAACCTGGTCTGGTTGTTGTGCTGCAGCAGCTGCTCAGCCTGAAAGAAATGTCCCGGTTGGTTCCTCCCAAGGCACCTTGGCCCTGCAGCCCCACAGCCCTGCTCTGGCTCCCAGGGCAGCCCAGGACTGCTCTGAACCCCAGCAGCTTTCTCCTGTCCCAGGGTGAGGCTGCCAGATCCCATTTTCTGCCTGTGGGCTGCTGGCAACCCCAGCACTACCAAGTTTTGCCATTTAGGAGCCTCAGGGCTGGGCAGGTGCTTTCCTCTCCCTGCATCCCTTTTGGGAGCCTGTGTTCCTACACTTGTCTGGGGGTAAGGTGAGGACCAAGGAGCCCCCAGGAGTCACTGAGGAAATGGATAGCAGATGGCAGGTGCACAATAAAATGGGGCTTTCTGTCTTCTGGAAATGGAATCTGCCCCTGCCCAGGCATTCACTGACATTTTGTTCTGAGGGTCTGTACACATGATTGCCTCCAACTTTCTTCCCTGGGAATTGGTAACAAACCCCCTTTGTTTTTCCCCCCTCTGATTTTTGAGCAGGTAACAGAATCCAGTGGGAGCCCTGCTGTTCCCCTGCATGGCCCACATCCTCCTGCCCCAGCCTGCAGCTCAGCTGCTTCCCACAGGAGCCAGGGAATGGGTAAAGCCAGGAGCTGCTGCTCAGAGCCCAGCCTGGGGACACAGCAATGAATCCCTCAGAGCAGGGGCTGCCACTGCTCCTCGGGGCTGGAGAGACACCCTGCAAATCCACACAGGGCAGAACGTTCAGCGAGCCTGTGCAAAGCTCAGTCCATCCCCAGATACCCCGGGAGTGCTGCAGCAGCTGCTCACGGGGTGCTCAGAGGTGTTGAGAGCCGTCTGCAGGTCCCAGGGCTCCATCCTCCTCAGGAAGCAGGCTCGCTGCTCCAGCGGCTTGTAGCACACATAGCCCTGTGGACAAACATGTCCCTTGGAGCGGGCAGCACACAGCCACCCCGGCCCAGGAACCCCTGGAATGGACATTCTCCTTTCCCCTGCTCTGTGTTCCACGCCTAAAGGTGCAGAGGAAGGCAGCAAACAGGAGCTGAGGAGGCAGGGATGCCCCGGCACTCACGTTCCTGCTGTCGTACAGCACCGCGGCGCTCAGGTTGCTCTGCGAGGTGACGTGGTAGGTGACGGTGCTCCTGGCCTTGTCCACCACGGCTGTCTGGTTCCTCAGCGGGTGCTGCTGGCCCTGGAGCGTCACTCGGCCGAGCTGGGAGCCAGCCTGGGCACCAGGAGTGGGAGGGCAGCACCAGCATCAGCTGCTCGGTGCTTGTGTGCAGCTTCTCCCTCCACCATCCCCATGCTGGCCCCTGCTCCTTGGTGGCTTCAAGGATTTGAGTGGAGAGAGGAGGCTCTGACCCACGACTCCATCCTCACCCCAGCGCCCCAGAGGCACCCAAGGCACCAGGTGCTGGAGGAAAGGGCCAGGAGATTGTGCCACAGCCTCCCTGCCCCATCTGTGCCTTCCCGAATTTGTCCAGCCAAACTCAGCCCAGAGCTCAGCCCATCCATCCCTCCTGGAGCTGCTTCCCACACAGCTCAGGGCTGCAGGATCCTGCCCACATCAGGATCCCTTACCTGGGCAGAGCTGGGGGAGAAGCTGAGAACCCCCAGGACACTGATGCCAACAGCTGCAAAAAACAACAAGGCAACGGACGAGATGATCCAGAAGGTCCTGGAGGGAGCTGGGAACAGCACTGTGGCCCTCCTGTCCTGGGAGCCAGGGCAAAAGAAGGAGGAACAGGAGTTAAAATTGACCCTTCTGCCAATTCTTCTTCATCAAACGTGTTCCCAGCTCACGGCACAAATCCTGGTGCAAACTGGTTGGAATGCAGAGCTGCCAAAACATTGTAGCACCTGGAAAAACGAAGCCTTTATCCCACAGCACTGGAATTCCAGATCCAGCATCCTGGTAACCAGCACTGCCACAGCCAGAAAAGCTGCAAAAGCCCCCAGGGCAGGGCTGGAGCAGCAGCTTTCCAAGCACAGGGAACAACAAATTCAATTATTTTGATTTACAGCAGAAATCCCCAGTGGGACCGTCAGCATTGGAATCAGATCCCGTGTGGAGTGACCCTGCTTCTGTTCCCCTCCCTGTGCTTGGCTGTGCTGGATTTTCTTGCTAAATTGTTCTCCATGAGACCAAGGAAAAGAGCTTGGCAGTGCTGTGACATTTCTATTGGCTCTATTAATTTACTTTAATTCTTACATTGAAGCAATTAAATTTAGCTTCATGGCACATAACAGGATTTTTACAAAGCAGAAAATGTGCTTTCAATAATCTCAAACACAGCCACACTTAAAAAATAACCTGTTTCTCAGTTTTCTGAAGGACAGAAAAACCCAATCCAGCCCAGGATTATGTGTGCTCCAGCTGCACAAGGATGGGCTCATCCAGCCTTGGGACAGTTATGGATCTTTATTGGAAACATAATAAAGGCACGGTCTGTGATAGAATCACGGCATCCTGGAATGGTTTGGGTTGGAGGGGACCCAAAAGCCCAACCATTCCACCCCCTGCCATGAGCAAGGACACATTCCACATCCCAGGCTGCTCCCAGCCCTGTCCAGCCTGGCCTTGGGCACTGCCAGGGATCCAGGGGCAGCCACAGCTTCTCTGGGCACCTGTGCCAGGGTCTCCCCAGCCTCCCAGCCAGGAATTCCTGCCCAAGATCCCATCCAACCCTGCCCTCTGGCACTGGGAGCCATTCCCTGTGTCCTGTCACACCCTTGGCCAAAGTCAAGTACAAGGAGGAAGGACAGAGCCAGCCTTTGCCCAGGAGCTGCTGTAACAGGGAATATTCACTGCAGGAATGGGAATATTCACTGCAGGAATGGGAATACTCACTGCAGGAATGGGAATATTCACTGCAGGAATGGGAATGCTCACTGCAGGAATGGGAATATTCACTGCAGGAATGGGAATATTCACTGCAGGAATGGGAATGCTCACTGCAGGAATGGGAATATTCACTGCAGGAATGGGAATACTGCAGGAATAGGAATACTCACTGCAGGAATAGGAATAAATGGGAATACTCACTGCAGGAATGGGAATGCTCACTGCAGGAATGGGAATATTCACTGCAGGAACGGGAATACTGCAGGAACAGGAGGAACAGGAATACTCACTGCAGGAATGGGAATACTCACTGCAGGAATGGGAATACTGCAGGAACAGGAGGAACAGGAATACTCACTGCAGGAATGGGAATACTGCAGGAACAGGAGGAACAGGAATACTCACTGCAGGGGCAGCACGGCTGGCACCGTCCCCTCCGTCCATCCTCCACCTCAGACGAGGACCCGGCTGCTGCTGCTTTGCCTCCCGCCCACGCACGGACTGGGCATGATCCCGGCTCCAGGCACAGCTGGGGAAGCTGGACGTGTGTCTGTGGGACATAAATACCCGTCCCTCGCAGCCAAAGGGCTCTGCAGGAGGGGGAAACCTGAGGCTGGAGCGGGAGCTGAGCGCTGCTGTCAGTGCCCGGAGCAGCTCTTCCTGCCCAGCCCCGGGACGGGCAGGAGCCACAATCGGGGTCTTTGTGTGCCCTGGGGGCTGGCACGGCCCAACACGGGCCCAGGTGAGGCTCTTTGAGAGATCAAATGACCAGGGGACAGTGGCAGCCTGCCCTTGTGGCAGCGGCGATTCCCACATTTCAGCGGGACTCCGGTGCTGCAGGAGCTCCGAGGGCTGGAGCCAGGTGCTGATCCCGCTGTCCGCAACCTGTGCCACCCTGGGAGGGAAAGGGAAAGTGCCACAGAGGCACCACCACAGCCTGTGCTGCACTGTCACCCTGTCATGAGAGACTCCCTGTGGCTGCAGCGTTCTCTGAGCATCCCTGAGCAGTCCAGGAGCCCCCAAAATGTTCCAAACCTGCCAGTCAGAACAAAGGTGTGGAATCAGGAAAGGTTAAGAATTCCTTCATGTGATGTCTGTCCAGGGAAAAAGCAGGTTTTGGACATTTTCCTATCAAGCACAGCCCAAGGCTGAACAAACTGGCTGAAGGGAGCCCACAAGAAAGAAGGAGAGGGACTTTGGCCAAGGGCATGGGCAGGACAAAGGGGAACGGCTTCAGTGCCAGAGGGTTGGATCAGATGTTGGAAAGAAACTCTTCCCTGGCACAGGTGCCCAGAGCAGCTGGGGCTCCCCTGGATCCCTGGCAGTGTCCCAGGCCAGGCTGGATGGGGCTGGGAGCACCTGGGGCAGTGGGAGGGGTCCCTGCCATGGCAGGGCTGGGGCTGGGGGGGATTTAGGGTCCTTTCCCAAACTGCATCCCTGACTCCCAGGAGTCCCAAGGCAGGCTCACCAAAGCTCACGGAGACGAGACCACAAAACGAGGCAACGCTGGGGAGAGCAGGTTTGAGAGTTTAATGGGAATTCAAGTAGAGGATTAAGAACCGTTTGGAAGTCAGAACAGAGTTTTGAAGCACGACTGACACTGCCACCAGCACATTCCACCATCCCTGAGCCCAGGCAATGGCTCCCCTGGCAGCGAGAGCCCTCAGCAGGGACAGAGCTGCCTGGGGGATGCTGGACTCTCTCTCCTGGCCTTTTCCTGACACATCCTGACACAAAAAGCACCAGAGACTGAATCCAAACCCGCACTGTTACATGACACGACCTGCAGCGAGTCCATCATGTCCATCTCCATGTCACCCAGATTAAGGGCAAGTTCTGCCCCTGGGACTCTGCAGTCCTTCCTCTGGAGACAGGAGCAGGGAAAAGATTATCCACATTCCTTCCACAACTCCGAATTACAAACAAACAGCCTTTCAGAGGTTCAGCCAGACCCTCTGCACTGCAGGGTTATTGCTGTACAAACAAGGTGACGAGTTACCAGGCAGGAAATGGCATCAGCACTGCCCGAGCTCCTCAGCTGGACAGGAAGGAAAATCAGTGCTTAAATTGAACTGTAGATACTGGAATCTATGAAATAAAAGCGTGTTATTTGCATATATAATTTTCAATTAATTCTGTAATGGAAAAGCTCTCACTGTGGGATTTGGGCAGCACAAAAACCACTCTGTGGTGAGCCCCTCATTGCCCAATCCCACCTGGAGATCAAATGGAATCATCCCTGAGCAAGCCAGCACTCCTCCTCACCACCCACCGTGCCTGGCCCCTGCCGGCACACGTGGAAGATCTGAACCTCAGGGATGGGAAGGAAGCACGAGCTATTGTCACACACAGCCAGGACCCAACAGCTGTCCTGGGCACTACATCCATCCATGGACTGAGCAGGAATTGGGATTGTGCAGTTAAAGCCAAGGCAAGTGGCTCGCTGAAGCTGAGGGAAGAGTAGGAGCTTGGTATGGATTAACTCAGGGATTTCTGGGAAGCAGCAGGAATGAAGGACAGTCCTGTGTGGCTACAGACTCTCTGCATTACCAAATGCAACCGTTTAGGAGAATTAAATCAATGAAGTACATTCCTCTCATCCTTCCTCCTGGGAAACAAGATATATTATCATAGACTCTATTTATAATTTAAATATATTCTGCTCTATCTTTATGCTCAGGGAATGCCTGTGTGTACATGCACTTTACACACACTTTACAAACCTTGGACAGACACTGTGCAGCAGCCAAGGTCTGGAATTATGTGGGATCATCCCACTCTGCATCACAAGTGCCAATGTGCAGTGGTCAAACGCAGGAGATGAATTTGTGTGACCTGACGTGGGGCTGTGTCCCTGAACATGGCCCCAGTCTGGGGAAAGGAATCACCCCAAGGGCAAACACCAGCTCCACAAAGTGTTTCCAAACACAACCAGAGATACTGCACATCCCAAGAGTCCCTGAACAAACCTGGCTGAGCCATGGCCCAGCCTGGCCAGGACATGATCCTTCCCCTCAGATCCAGCAGCTCCACTTCCCCAGCTCAGCCTGGAGGATGCTGCGCCATGGAGCCCCACAAACATCGGATCCGTGCGCTTAATTAATTAGTTAATTAATTAACCCCAGCCCCAAGCCCCAGCCCCGGGCGGCACCGTAATGCCCCCTTTGTTCCAAAGTGCATTTCAGAGTGAGATGTAAACAGAACCATACCGAGAGGACAGAGAGGGGACAAGCTAAGGGTTTTAACTCCGGGGAGCATCTAGTGCGTGCGCTACTGCCGGGGCCGCCGCCCGGGCCCGTTACTCCCCCAGAGCCGGGAGCAGGTCGGCGATGCTGTTCACGTAGTAGTCAGGGACCAGGCTGTGCCTGGCAGGACAGCCGCTGTCCTGGTGGCCCCGCACCTCGTCCAGCGCCGTGACCCCGGTGAGGGTGAGCAGCGTGGTGAGGCCGCAGTCGTTGCCCATCAGGATGTCCGTGTCCAGCCGGTCCCCCACCATGATGGTGCGCGCGGGGTCCACCTCGAACTCGCCGGCCACGCAGTCGAACATGAAGCGGTTGGGCTTGCCCACGATGAAGGCCTCGCGCTGCGCCGCCGTCTCCACGGCCTTCACCAGGCATCCCGTCCCTGCGGGGAACAGGCAGCAGGGATTAGGGGCACAAGGCTCTCGGTGGCCACACCAGCCAGGACAAACCCGCTCGGGACTTTGGGAATGTGACCCCAGCCTTACAGGCAGAGGGATGGGTCAGTCCCAGGAGAGCTGGTGCACAAAGCCTGCCAGGAGGCTGCAATTCCATCCCGCAGCATCAAAAGGGAACTCCTATTCCAAAGTAAAGGAGCAATAAGGATTCCCTCTCTTTCAGGGGTGCTGTGGAGGAAAGGCTCCGGGATGCCCAGGCTGCCTCGAAGAAGCCCAGGACATTTGGAGCTAGAGGGGGTTCATCTGGTCTCCTCTGGAGATCATCCAGTCCAACCCCGCTACCAGGCAGGGTCACCTAGATTAGGTGACACGGGAACGTGCGTAGGCGAGATTGGAAAATCTCCAGCGACAGAGACTCCATGACCTCCCTGGGCAGCTGCTCCAGGGCTCTGCTCTCCCCATTGCAACTTCTTCCTTAGGCCGAGGCGCAACTCCTTGCGTTTTACCGAAACACCGCGGTGTGCTGAGCCGCAGAGCCGAGCACGGAGACCCCCCCAGCCCCGGGACCATCCCCTCCGCCCCCGCCGCGCGTACCGGGGATGCCGGCGCCGCCCTCG